GCAGATTCGAGTTCTAAAACATAAGATGACCTTTTGGGTCATCACAGACACGGTCCAGCATGGTGATGCTAAAGAGGTTACTATTGGAGATGATGGTGCATTGTGGATGCAGGGCAAGCTATGAGTGCCCAATGTAGATGGTTTGCGCGAGTTGATTCTCCAGGAGGCTCACAGTTCGCGGTACTCAATTCATCCGGGTGCCGCCAAGATGTATCAGGACTTGAGACAGCATTACTGGGGGAGGAGGATGAAGAAAGACATAGTAGAGTATGTGTCCTGATGTCTAAATTTCTAGCAGGTGAAGTATGAGCATCAACGGCCAGGTGGGTTGCTTCAGAAGTTGGAGATTCCGGAGTGGAAATGGGATCACTATGGATTTCATTGTTGGACTCCCACGGACTCAGCGGAGGTTTGATTCAGTTTGGGTGATTGTGGATAGGCTGACCAAGTCGGCTCATTTCATTCCTGTGATGACTACCTATTCTTCCGAGCAGCTAGCTTGAATCTACATCTGTGATATCGTCAGGCTTCATGATGTACCGGTATCTATCATCTCTGACCGGGGTACGCAGTTTACATCACGGTTCTGGAGGGCTGCACAGCAGGAGTTGGGTACTCGGGTCAAGTTGAGTACAATATTTCACCTTCAGACGGACGGGCAGTCCGAGCGCACTATTCAGATACTGGAGGATATGCTCTGCGCTTGTGTGATAGATTTTGGGGGTTCTTGGGACCAGTTTTTACCACTTGCGGAGTTTTCCTACAACAATAGTTATCAGTCCAGCATTCAGATGGTACCGTATGAGGCTATGTATGGTAGGCGGTGTCGGTCCTCAGTGGGTTGGTTTGAGCCAGGCGAGGCTAGATTATTGGGTACAGACTTGGTTCAGGATGCCTTGGAGAAGGCTAAGGTGATTCAGGATAGACTTTACACAACCCAGTCCAGACAGAAGAGTTACGCGGATCGGAAGGTTCGCGATGTTGCATTCATGGTTGGAGAGCGGGTCTTGCTCCGGGTTTCGCCTATGAAGGGCGTTATGAGGTTCAGAAAGAGGGGCAAGTTGAGCCCAAGGTTTATTGGTCCCTTTGAGGTGTTGCGGCGAGTTAGGAAAGTTGCTTATGAGCTTGCCTTACCTCCCAGCCTAGCAGGAGTTCATCCGGTATTTTATATTTTGATGCTCCGGAAGTATCACGACGATCAGTCCCATGTCTTGGATTTCAGCTCAGTCCAGTTGGACAAGGATCTATCTTATGTTGAGGAGCAGGTGGCTATTTTAGACAAGGTCGGAAAGTTAAGGTCAAAAAACATTGCTTCAGTAAAGGTTCAGTGGAGGGGTTAGCCGGTTAAGGAGGCAACTTGGGAGACCGAGCATGTTATGCGCAGCCGTTACCCTCACCTTTTTACCACTTCAGGTATGTCTTTATGCTCGTTCGAGGACGAACGATTATTTTTAGAGGGGAAGGATATAACAACCCGACCGGTCGTTTTGAGAGTAATAGTCCCGATCCCCTATTTACTATTTCCCCTGTATCTTTTTTCTGCTTATGTGACTTGTCGGGAGGCTTCGTTTTGGTTTTTGGAGTGTTTTGGGACACTTAGTCCCTAAAACGGGAGCTTAAGCCTTAAGATTTGGACCGTAGTCGGAATTATGTGAAGACGACTTTGGAATAGAGTTTCATTGGTTCCGTTAGTTCCGTTAGGTGATTTTGGACTTAGGGGCGTGTCCGGATTGTGTTTTGGAGGTATATAGCTCATTTAGGCTTGAAATGGCGGAAGTCGAAGTTTTGGAGATTTTTGACCGGCAGTAGAATTTTAGATATCGAGGTCGGATTCCGATTCTGAAAGTTGGAGTAGGTCCGTAATGTTGAATATGACTTGTGTGCAAAATTTGGGGTCAATCAGACGTGGTTTGATTCGTTTCGGCATCGGATGTCAAATTTGAAAGTTTCAAGTTCTTTAAGTTTGAACCGGAGGATGATTTGTAATTTTTAGCGTTGTTTGATGTGGTTTAAGGGCTCGACTAAGTTAGTATGGTGTTTTAGGATCTGTTGGTATGTTTGGTCGAGGTCTCGGAGACCTCAGGTGAGTTTCGGGTGCTTAACGGATTGAGTTTGGGACTTATGCATTTGCTGGAGCTGCTACACCTGGTGTAATCGCACCTGTGCACTTTGGGTCGCAGGTGCGGCGCCGCAGAAACGGCCATGGACCCGCAGAAGCGGTTTTGGCCCTGTCCAGCTGGAACGCAGGTGCAGCCATAGATCCGCAGAAGCGGAAGAGGAGCACAGATGAGGGCCCTTAAGTGATTTTCGCACCTGCGATGGAATTTCCGCAGGTGCGGTTGAAGGCTCGCATAAGCGAGATTTCTGGGCAGAAAAGAGGAAAAATCGAGGGTTGGATTCATTTCTTCATTTTTGAACTTGGGAGCTCAGGAATTGGCGATTTTTCGAGGGATTTTCAGAGAGAGATTTTCGGTAACGATTCCTATCTCGTTTTTGGTTGTATTTCTTTAATGTATAGTTGTTTTCTCCATTTAATTTCGGATTTGGATTGAAAAGTTGGGGAAATAGAGGAAAAGTTCCCTAACCGAATTTTCTGAGTTTTGATTGGGATTTAAACATCAAATTTGGATAATTTTGGTACGAGTGAACTCGTGAGTGAATGGGTGTTCGTATTTTGTGACTTTTACCCGATTTCGAGACGTGGGCCCGGGTCGACTGTTTAGGACGAATTTCGAATTTTTGTTGAAGTATTGATTTCATTAATTAGATGAGGCTGTTATGGTTGTATTTATGATATGTAATTGCTTTTGGCTAGATTTAGGCCATTCGGAGCCAGATATTCGTGGGAAAGGCATTGTGACCGATTGATTGAGCTTGGTTCGAGGTAAATGGTTTGCCTAACCTTGTGTGGGGGAAACTCCCCTTAGGATTTGGTACTGTTTTGATAAGTGAGTGTCGTGTACGTGAGGTGACGAGTACGTACACAGGCTATTTGTTGTAAAACTCCGTTCTTCACTAAGTAATAACCTGTTTCTCCTTATTTGAGCTACACTAGCATATGTAACTATCCTGTTTAGTTTAGAATAGGATGCCTACATGTCTTAACTGTCTGTCTGAACTCTTTGCAGCATGTTTAGTGAAATTCCTGTTTTTCCTTGACTTGAACTTAGTCTCAATTGTCGATTTTCTTGCGGTAACTGTTATTTCCGTTGGTTGAGCTGCATATTTACTTTGGAACTACGGAACAGTATTCCGAGAGATCTCCCTGTACTGCATATTTATTTGGGACTACGGAACGGTATTTCGGGAGATCCCCCTGTACTGCATATTTACTTTGGGGCTACAAAACGGTATCCTGGGAGATCCCCCTGTACTGCACATTTACGTTTGGGACTACGAGACGGTATCTCGGGAGATCCCCTGTTGTTATTTCTGTGTACTGAGCTGTTGTCTTCTATGATTTCATTCTTGTTAAATTTCAGTCTTTATTTTACTGCGATATTTCATTCTATCTTGTTTTATTATATATATACCAGTAGGGCCCTGACCTGGCCTCGTCATTACTCGACCGAGGTTAGGTGGTACTTACTGGGTACCGATTGTGGTGTACTCATGCTACTCTTCTGTACATGTTTTTCGTGTGCAGATCCAGGTGCCCCTTATCAGTCACACTATCAGTGAGCCGGGACAGCTTTGGAAACTTCAAGGTATATCTGCCGCGTCCGCAGACCTCGGATTCCCCTTCTACTCTTCCCCATGTCCATTATCTTCTGTACTTTCTTTTGGTAGACTCTGATGTATAGAGACACTAGATTTTCCTTCTGTAGTTTGTGATTTACGATGTTCCGGGTTTTGAGAATGTTGTGTAGTATATTGAGGAGTTGGTATTACTACATGCCGAGCAGCATGGTATTCAGTTACGGTATTATCGATACAGTTAGTTGTTAAATTTATGTTTTCATTTCATTATTCTGCAAATGTTAGGTTTAACTAGTCATAGAGACTAGGTGCCGTTACGACGTCATACGGAGGGGAAATTGGATCGTGGCAAATTATTCATCAAAACTCCATATTCTTGTCAACACTCTTTATCTTTGTGATTATATCTGATTTCTTTCAGTTGCATTCTAGTAGTCCTATGGATCCAAATTAAACTCCATTAACAAAGAGAATATATAGCAACCAATGGATAACAGAGAAGTATGATCATATTTTATGTTGTCAATTTTGGGATTGGCCTCAAAAGTATTCACAGAACAACCAGTAAGCACAAAATAGCATCGAGATCCTGCATAACAAAATAGGGTTCTAAATATGTAGAATATCCAAATTTCTATAGTCCTAATTCATAAGAAAGTTATGTCAAAGCTGCATTAAACCAATTTTTCAAATAAGATAAAAAGCAAAGTTGGTTCAAAGGTGGACTTTTGTACTATTATTATTTAGCTACCCAGAAACAAAAGTCAAGAAGCATAATACTTCAAATAGAAGACTTCAAGCTGTATTTTGCACTGGTTAATATCACAGTTTTTGTTTCTTGACGAATCTGTAATATCTTTTTATTTATCAATATCCTTCATTCTCTTACACATAAAAAGGGTAGCCCGGTGCACTAAGCTCCCGCTATGCGCGAGGTACGGGGAAGGTCCGAACCATAAACTACACTATTTTGTGACAAATGATCTTTTTATCCTTCTTCCATGTACAGTCGTCCACCAAAAAGAAGAAAAAAAAAACAAAGAAAAAAGACTTCTGAATTAACTGCAAACGACTAATTTCTTTGGTTGCTGAATCGCTTAGTTTGTTTTGATACTATTAACCAAAAAATGGTTCAGTTTTCTTATTGTTAATGTATCTTTTGAGTAAAATCTGTCAACAGTGTTACTCAAGCCCAAAAATTTTGTTATAACAAAAGCAGAATAGGACTAGACAAGATGACAATTTAAAGATCCCTTAGCGGGATTTTATTGGATTGTTGTTGTAGTTGTATCTACGTGACAAAGAAAGGAGTAGCACATGGTTTTGCCTTCTACAAGGTAGTCTTCATTTAATGGCTTCAAATTATTTAAGTATGAGCTGATATCATACCTAATAGGTCCAATCTGTTGTCAACCAAAGTGAAGAAATGAAGAAACATATTATTATTTTCCATCCTTTCGAACTAACTTCATCCACAAATTTAAGGCCCCATATCAGCATGACCAACAGGCATCAGCACATGGCTTTGCCTTTTGTTAGCAACAAAAACTTCAGCTCCAACTAAAGATTAGTTGTCTCCAGTTTCTTGTATAAATAATCCCCCTTTCATGAGCCTTTTCATTACCAATTCAGGACAAGCATTAACAAGTCAACCCTAAAAAAGTCTCTAAATTTCTTGTTTACTTTCTTGTTTCAATCTTCCACAAAAAAAAAAAAAGAAAGACAATGATCAGTGACAAGAAACTCATCAAAATGGCTAGGAGATGGCAGAAGTTCGCAGCCAAGCAGAGGAAGAGGATTTCATTTCCAAGAAATGGTAGTGATTCAGACAGTTGTAGTACATCTTCATCCTCTATAGTTGAAAAGGGCCATATTGTAGTCTATACAATTGATCAAAGGCGATTTGTCATTCCCTTGGCATACCTTGAAAATGAGGTCCTTAGGCAACTCTTAAACATGTCGGAAGAAGAGTTTGGGCTGCCGCATGGTGGCCCTATTAAATTACCCTGTGATTCAGCGTTCATGGATTACATCATTTCACTAATCAAGAAAGGTGTGGCCGCTGGAGATCTTCACAAAGCATTGCTCCTCTCAATTACTTCATGTTGTTGTTCAGCTTATTCTTTGCACCAAGAAAGTGGAAACCAGCAGCTTGTTGTCTATTGAGTCATGAAATAATCATATTTTGTAAATGGTAGCTCAAAATAGATTGTATAGCAGGTGATAAGTAGGAAACTAAAAGAGTGTATTACAAAAGACGAATAGAGCTTTCAATTTTCAATTTTGAAACTAAGAAGTTCTTAAACATTATCTTATCCCGGGCAATAACATGGTTTGATCAAAACTTACTAATATATGAATCATTCTGACTAAAAAAGTGGAGAGAAAAAAGCTAAGTTGCTCGGACACGGGTGCGGATCTAGAGATCGGATCCTTCGAGATGTAAATTCTAAGATTCAGGGATACGGATCTTAGTATGGATACGGGTGCTGGGATCCAGCTCAAAATAATTCAAAAAAATAAAAAAATATCCAAATTGTGAGAAATTTTGTTGAATACTTACATATAGCTTGTAAAGTGTTAATTTCTTTTTCATTCTCAAGTTGTAGATAAGTAAAGGATTAATTTGTTAGATAAGGTATGATATTATCTTCAAATTTACCCTAGTTTTGGTTCTAATTTCGGGAATCAAATTGTATGTTGTCTCGAACTTTTCCATCCGTCATGGTCAAAGTACCCAAAATTATTTGACCAGATCTTGTACGGATCTCATATTTACACTCATACTAGTGTCGTATCGACACAGGTGCGGCACTTAAACTGTCATGGCGGAGCAACTTAGGAATAAATGGAAGCCATATTACGTCAGAGTTTTTGGAGAACGGGATATAGGGAATTGATCTTTAATTGGATATATGATGGATATGTGGATATTGGAAATAAAATGTATAAAAGATGATAAGTTTAATACCTTTTGCAAATTATCATCTGATACTCTAAGAACATATTCAGAAAATCAAAACAGCTACTGGAGTATCTTCCTCATAATTCGAATATCAATAGATTAGTTAAATAGTTACCTAAAATAAAAATAAAAATACTGGAGTGAAGGGTTAATAGGTAGGTACCTTTGAAATTGAAGGTCCGTTCGTCGTAAGGGGGCTGAGATGGTTTCTCATAGCCGACGGAGGAGGAAATGAAGATTATTAACAGTTTATTTCTAAAAGCTTATACCTCGTATAAATTTTATGAGATGTATGAGTCAGCAGAAAATGACAAAAATGGTCCCTTATGTTTGAGTATAGGTTCAAAGTAGTCCCCTTAAGTATGCTATGAGTAGTTTTAGTCCAATCATATTTGCCAGAATTTAACACTTTTGGTCTCAAATTCAAATACTTAAGGAATTTTGTCTCTTAGATTTGATTAGACCTATAAAAAGAAGGAATTTTTGGGGGGACTCACATCTAAGGATATACTTTTTAGCGCATTGTATGGCAAATGGCGTACAAACTTTCTCCAAGAACCACTTTTGAGTGCAAGAATTTCAATGGATTGTCGTTGAATTTCAATGACTTTCAATTAAACAACAAAATTTTTTGCACTCGGATGGTTTGTAGTTTGAAGGGCAATCGAATTTTTGTAAATCCTTTGAAAGGCAAGCGAGTTCTTGTACACCAAATTGTATTCCATGTTTGATAAAAGTGTAATTATAAATAATAATTCTTTTAAATATTAGCAAAATAAGCTAAATTCTCTCATGACAATTCGACACTAATTACGCTTGGGTTTGTTAAAGAAAGTCATTACTCCCTTCGATTTCATCCCAAATTTAAAGACTTGAAGAAGTCCCTCCTGTATAAGTTATCTCCGATTAGACTTGAAGAAGTTCCTGTACAAATATAAAAGTATCCCTAATGTAACGACCCGGTCGGTCGTTCCGAGAGTTGTAGCCCCGTTTTTCCTATTTCTGCTTATTTATGTGTTGTTCAGCTGTGTTGAGTTGTATCGAGTTGGTAGGTTTGGGTTCGGAGTAGTTTTGGAGTGAAATGAGACACTTAGTCTCTTAGTTAGAAAGCTAAGTTAGAAAAGTCAACCGAAAGTTGACTTATGAGTAAACAAGTTCGGACTTGGATTTCTATGATTCGGTTAGCTTCGCTGAGTGATTTTAGACTTAGGAGTGTGTCCGAAATATAATTTGGAGGTCCGTGGTAGAATTAGGCTTGAATTGGCAAAAGTTAGAAATTTGGCGATTTTGGTCGGCAGCGAAAAATTAGGTATCGGGGTCGGAATGGAATTTCGGAAGTTGGAGTAGGTTCGTAGTGTCATTTTTGATGTGTGTGCAAAATTTGAGGTCATTCAGACGTGGTTTGATAGGTTTCGGCGTCGTTGGCAAATTTTGGAAGTTTAGAAGTTCTTAGGCTTGAATCCGAGGTTGAATTGGTGTTTTGGTATTGTTTTTGGGATGATTTCGGATGGTTAACGAGAAGTTTGGAAGTTCGGAAATGCAGTTGAAGCTACTGCTACTGATATTTCCGCACCTGCGGAAAGGGAGTCGCAGGTGCGGGGCCGCTGGTGCGCATGGGGGTTCGCAGGTACGGGCAGTGCTGGGCTAGACAGGATGCGCAGGTGCGAGAAGGCTATCGCATCTGCGAGCCCACAGGTGCGAGATCGGGGGCGCAAATGCGGAAGGAAGGAAGAAGGCTGGCTTCGCAGATGCGGCGTGTCACGCGCAAGTGCTAGCCCGCAGGTGTGAGGGATCTGCCGCAAGTGAGAAGCCTGGTCATTTAAGTGGAATGCGCAGGTGTGCACCTGGGACTGCAGATGCGAAAGCGCAAGTGCGATGAAGGGGTCGTAGGTGCGGAACCCCTGGGCAGAACCTATTTAAGCCACACTTCGCGAATTTTTGCCCTTTCTTCACCATTGTTGAACGGTTTTTGAGCTTTGGGCAGTGATTTTCAAGGAGGAATCAAGAGACATCAGTGAGATAAGTCTCTTGGGTTTATTTACATGCATTTATGATATTTTCCACTCATTAGCCATGAAATTAGTAGGGGTTTAGGGTGAAACTGAGGGAGTTAGGTTTTGAGTTTTTGGAGAGTTTTAAGTGAGGATTTGAGGGACCAAACGGAGTCCGATTTTGACGAATTTTATATTGTTAGACTCGGGTGAGGATGAGGTTTGTTATTCTTCCATTTTTGACTGGTTTCGTGACATGGGACATGGGGCCGGGTTTTGGCCGATTTCGGATTTTTGGCCTATTTATGTAGTTTTTATTGTGAAATTCGATTCTTTAGCCTATGTTGATAGTAGTATTCTAATTTTGGTTAGATTCAGAGCTTTTGGAGATCGAGTCCAGAGACGAGAACATCCAGGAGTAGGATTTTACATTGTTAAGGTAAGTAACAGTTTTAACTCTGGCTTTGAGGGTATAAATCCGGAGATTTGACATTACATGATTGTTTGGAAGTGATACCCACGCTAGGTGACAAGCGTGTGGGTGTGCACTACTAGGGATTGAGACTTGGTCCGTCCCGTGAGGCATAATGGCTATTATCTGTGGTTATGTGTTTATTTGTTGTTGAACTTGTTTGCCTTCATGTTAGAGATCATGCTTAGGCTTTATTCATGCTCACATTATTTGCACTCAGTCATAAATATTATTGTAAATGTTTACCTCAGTCCCTATTATTTTGCTGAAATGTTGTGATACTTGACGTGGGTTGTGTTTCCCTTATTTATTGATGATGGTGAGGCTAGAGAGGTACATGACTGAGTGAGGCTGAGGGCCTGTTGTAAGGTATTTGATTGAGGTACGTGAGTTGTCTATGCAGCACGTGAGTTGTCCGTGCGGATTCAGGTATTGATATCATAGTGTGTGAGTTGTCCGCGTAACACGTGAGTTGACCGTGCAGATCTAGGGATTGATATTATGGCATGTGAGTTGTACGTGCAACACGTGAGTTGTCTGTGCTTAGCGCTTGGGCTTTGGGAGCCCCTTCGGAGTCTGTACATACCCCAGTGAGCACAGGTACCTATTGAGTGCTGAGTGCGAGTGCTGAGTGCCGAGTGCTGAGTGATGGAGTAGTATTGCTGTGAGGTTGCATTTACTTTTGTTGTTGCTGCATTTACCTGTTAATTTCTTTGTGGCATTTGTTGGTTTTATGGAATTTACCTGTTTATTCATGTTTATTGTAAATTGTGAAAATAAATAATTGGACTGTTTTTCTTAGTTCGTCACTACTACTCAGTTCCTTAGTTATTTTTGTTACTACTGAGTCGGTTGTACTCATACTATACCATGTACTTTATGTGCAGATCCAGGTGAGTTAGAGCGCGGCGATCGTTGAGTTCAGGCCGTCTATATTTGGAGACTGCAAGGTAGCTGCTAGCGTCCGCAGGACCTTGTTACTCCTTTTGTAATTTCTTCTTTTGGACAGTTAGACAGTTTATTTCTTAGTTCATAGATTTAGACGCTCATGACTTAGTGACACCCCGATGTTTGGGGCTCGTTCCATATTTTTTATAATTATATTTAGGGTCGATTTAGTTTATGAAAAATTCAAATGTTGGAAATATTTTATTAAATTCTTATAATCGATTTAGTAGTAATATTTTGGGAAATAGGCTTGCCTTGTAACACGATAGGCGCCATCACGACCATGGTTAGATTTTGGATCGTGACAAGTTGGTATCAGAGCCTAGGTTACATAGGTCTCACGAGTCATGAGCGGGTTTAGTAGAGTCTTGCGAATCGGTACTTATCTTCGAGAGGCTGTAGAACCTTTAGGAAACTCCACCTTCTTGAATTCTTGTCATGCGAATCTGTTTATTCTAGTAACTAAACATCTGTTGTTTCATTCTCTCAAAGATGGTGAGGACTCGTGCTACCAGTCAGGAGGGCCAGCCACCAGTACCACCAGCTAGGGCCGCGAGAGGCCGAGGCCGCGGTAGAGGTCGAGGTAGGGACAGAGGTGCAGCCCGTACAACAGCTGGGGCAGTACCTGCAGATACACCAGTTGCCCCAAATCAGGACCAGGTTCCAGTTGCTGATTCACCAGCTTAGGCACCACCTGTGCCTATTGTGATTCCAGGCCTTCAGGAGGCCCTAGCTCAGATTCTGACAGCATGTACCGACCTTGCTCAGGCGGTCTCTATCTCGACAGTCGCAGCCACTTCTCAGGCTGAGGGAGGCAACGGACTCCCATCGCCCGCACACCCGAGCAGGTTGTTCAGGGACTTCAAACACCAGAGGCACCACCAGCCCAACCGGTTGTAGCTGCACAGGATTATGTGGTTCCTGCTATGTTTGAGGATGATCAATGTAGGTTGGAGAGGTTTGGGAGACTCCAGCCGCCACCTTTCAGTGGCAAAGAGAGAGAGGGCGCTCAGGATTTCTTGGACAGGTGTCAGAGGATACTCTGTACTACTGTATTCTGGAGACTTGTGGGGTCTCATTCACTACCTTTCAGTTTTCTGGGGCTGCGCTCAGATGGTGGGAGACTTACGAGAGGCGTAGGCCTGTTGGCGCAGCACCCCTTACTTGTCAGCAGTTATCCGTTCTTTTTCTAGAGAAGTTTGTACCTGAATCCCGCAGAGAGGAGCTGCACAGGCAGTTTGAGCAGCTTCGCCAGGGTGAGATGTCTGTTACACAGTATGAGATGCGGTTCTCCGAGTTAGCTCGTCATGCGGTCTGGTTGGTTCCCATAGACCGAGAGAGGATCAGGAGGTTTATATATGGCCTCGGTTTTCAGCTTCGATTGCTTATGACCAGGGAGAGAGTATATGGGGCTACCTTTGATGAGGTTGTCGATATTGCTCGACAAATTGAGATGGTTCGAGATCAGGAGAGGGCTGAGAGGCTACTAGGCCTTGTGGTCAGGGTGGTTTCAGTGGTGCTCCTCAAGGAGGTCAGTTTCAGCAGGGCCAGTTTCAGTAGAGTCAGTCATCATTCAGTGCATTGCCAGCGTAGGGTTCTCATTATGCCCCGCCCGCTCAGGTACCATCGGGTAATTCTTTTGGGCATCAGGAGCAACAGTTTCGTCAGAGGAGGGGTTGTTTCGAGTGCGGGGATGTTGGTCACATTGCGAGATATTGCCCTAAGCTGTTGGGTGGGAC